GTGTTTGGTGGCTGGTATTAGTGTAGTACATTAGTTAAGGTGAATATCATTGTACATGTTTGTTTTTGTAGCATGTCACTTATGAATCATGCATCATGGTGTTTGGACGATGATTTGATTTTGGTGAGCCTCAATCCTATGGTGGGAATTGGGTGTGAGTAGGTGGTTCTAGGTAGAAATCAGTGAAGTGTTACTTATGGTGATGGTAACAATTTTTGGTCTACTCTGATACTATAGTGGGGATCAATAACAGAAACTCATCCATCTCATGAAGGGTTATAGTGAAATCATAACTAATAAGATGATAATATAGAAGGTAATGTGTATGTTGACCTCTCACTTTGATTATATTATCGTGGCTATTCAATAATCCAACAATCTTGAAACCCTAAAATTGGAAGATTTGGTTGGTTTGTTTGAGGCATATGGGATTAGGATTGTCGAAAGAAAAGAAGTTCGAGACTCGATACAAGCACTGCAAGCTCAATCATGGGAAAATAATGGTGGTTCCAACAAATTCAAAGGAAAAATAGACAAGGCTCATGAAAATAAGTCTTGGTAGAGTCCTCACAAGAATAATGTTAACGACAGGGTTTCTGAATCCTCAAAAAGAGGAGAAGGAAATTTCTATCTGAAAGACAAGAGAAGAGAAAAAATGTGTGCAGTGTTATAACTGTGAAAAGTGAGGTCATTTGGCCAAGCATTGTTGATATAGGAAAAACAAGGGATCGACAAAAGGAAAGGACGGAGGAGGGAACCTTGCATGTCAAGATTCAAATGATTATGATGATATGGTGGTTATGGTTGTAGTTGCAGATAACCATGTTGAATCCAAGATATGGTTCCCCGACTCAGGCTGCTAGAATCACATGACTGGTTAAAAATGTGGTTAGCATATTTTGACGAGTAGAAGAAGAGCAAGGTTAAACTTGCAGATAATAGGTCGTTGCAAGCAGAAGGTAATGGCAACATAGTTTTTCAAAGGAGTAATGGAGTGAGAGCTATGATCAAAGATGTACTCTATGTACTTGGAATAAAGTGCAATCTGCTATGTGTTGGACAACAGATAAAAAAGGTTTCTTAGTGGTTATGATAGATGGAGCTTTAGAACTGTTCGACACTCAAAATAAATTGGTCTTGAAATATCCTCTATCTAAGAACATGACATTTCATACCTTGATCAGTTCGACCGAGGTACAATGTCTGAAAATAGTTGTCGACCATAAGAATAGCTGGTTGTGGCATTTGTGGTTTGATCACTTAAACTTTCAATCACCCAATCAACTTATTACTCAAGATATGACAATTGGCATACCAAGACCTGAGATGCCCGACAAACTCTTTGAAGGTTAACTATCCGGAAAGCAATCCAGAAAGTATTTCGTTTCAACTATGCCAATGAGATCCTTCTGCATACTTGAAGTTGTACATTCAGATGTATGTGGCTCGTTCGAAGAATATACTATTGGTGGAAACATGTATAGTCAAAGACTCTGGATATATGTGATCAAGTGAAAGGAAGAAGTATTTGAAATCTTTAATAGATTCAAGATACTTTTCAAAAACCAGAGTGAAAAGAAGATCAAAGTTATGCGAACGGATGGAGGTGGCGAATACATGTCCAATATGTTTGAAGAGTTATATGCATAACACGGTGTCGATTATGAGGTAATTGTTCCTCATACGCCTCAACATAATGGAATTGCAGAAAGATGAAACATAACCATATTAGATATGGCAAGATGCATGTTGAAATAAAATAATTTACCAAAGTCCTTATGGGGTGAAGTTGTTTCAAATGTAGTTTATATTTTGAATAAGATCCCTACCAAGAAATTAAAGAACAAGGTTTCTGAAGAAGTGTGAAGCGGAAAACGACCACCAGTGAGTCATCATAAGTTGTTTGGCTCTATGTGTTACACGTATGTTCCTGATGCAAGAAGAAGGAAGCTTGATGACAAGAGTGAACCCATGATTCTAGTAGGATATCATAAAACTTCTCCATACAAGCTGTTCAATCCAATCAATAAGAAGATTATGATAAGTCGAGACACTTTCATTGATGAAAATTCTGCCTAGGATTGGAATTTTGATGATGCAATTAACAAGCCATTGATGAGCTATGGATTCGACGAAAAAAATAATGAATTCAAAGTCGAAGAAATTGACGATATTCCAATCAAAGTCGAAGCAGTTACTGATAATATTAACACTGTCGAATTCGAAGAGGGTGTCGCTAGCATAAGCCAAAGACCTCAAAGAACTAGAGTTCTCCCAATAAGCTTCAAGACTATGAAGTGACTGGTGATGATGAAGTCACACCAGATGGAGAATTAGTTCATTTTACTTTACTTGAAGGTGTTGAACCAATCAACTATAACGAGGATTTAAAGAATAAGTAATGAAAGTTAGCAATGGTCGAAGAGTTACATGCAATCAAAAGAAACAACACGTGAGATTTAGTCGAATTGCCAACACACACAAAAGCTATCAAAGTAAAGTGGGTGTTCAAGTTGAAACACAATGTTGATGGGCCGATAGCAAGACATAAGGAAAAATTGGTATCTCGAGGATTTCTTTAGAGAGCATGACTCGACTACTCTGAAGTATTTGCTCTAGTAGAAAGATTGGAGACTATTCGACTAGGGGTAATCTTGGCATGTAAGCAAGGAAAGTAGGCATTTCACTTAGATGTGAAGTCAATATTTTTGAGTGGACCCTTAGACGAATAGGTCTATGTCACACAATCTCCTGGGTTTATGATTCAGAAGAAAGCGAGTAAGGTGTATAAGTTACACAAAATACTTTATGGCCTCAAACAGACACCTAAGGCATGGAACAAGAAGATCGACTCGTACTTAGTTGAATTGGGATTCGTCAAATGCAAATATGAGTATGGTGTCTATGTTTAGGTTGTAGCACAAAATATAATAATCATATGCTTATATGTCGTTAACTTGTTGGTAATTGGAAATAGCTTGGAGAACTTGTCGAAGTTCAAAGAGTTGATGATGAGGGAATTTGAAATGTCAGATCTGGGAAAATTGTCTTATATTCTAGGCATGGAATTTCAAATGTTGAAGCAAGGAATGATGTTACATCAAAGGAAGTATGACAAAGAGATACTCAAGAGATTCAAAATGGACGATTTAACTTTTGCATCTTTGCCCGTCGAACCAAATTTGAAGTTGGAGAAGCATTGGGAGGAAGACAAACTCGATGTAACTTTGTTTAAACAAATTGTTGGATCTCTGAGGTATATATACAACAGTCGACTTCATATAAGTTTTGCAGTCAGATTAGTGAGCAGATACATGAGTGAACCAAGAGTGTCATACATGATGGCTGCAAGAAGAATTCTTAGATACTTAAAAAGATCGATAAAACTATGGAATTCTATTTCGATAAGATTCTGAAAACAAAGAAGCTACAGTTACATGCTATTTAGATGTTAATTGGTGTGGAGATGAAGAAGATCGAAGAAGCATAATTGGTTATTTCTTTCAAGTCTTTGATGCCCTAATCGCACGGTGCTCGAAAAAGAAACATGTGGTGGCATCGTCATCGTGTGAGGTTGAATATATAGCAGGACCCTATGATGCATGTCAAGCAATTTGGATCAGATATGTGCTTGAAGAAATAGAATTCGAGGTGAAGAAACCCCTGGTGCTACAGATCGACAACAAGTCAACCATAAAACTTGTAAAGAATTCAGTTTTGCATGAAATGAGTAAGCACATCGAAGCTATATTTCACTTCTTAAGGAAGAAGGTAAATCGAAGTAAATTTGAAGTAAGTTATTTCTCAAGTGAAGCACAGTTGACCGACATTATCAAAAAAGGATTGAAGATCGATCGATTCATGAATTTGAAAAAGAAATTAGGAATAGTTCAGATCGACTATGATTAACGTATGTTCGACAACTTAGATTATATGGGATATATTGAGATATTAGATATAATCCCAATTGAGTAATCAAAGCTCAAGCCCAATTAGGGTTTGTTAGCGTACTTAATATACAAGTTAGTTGTATATAAATAGACATAGTTTATGATTCAGTTTGTACAATTCAAATTCAATAATAGAATGCTTATTTCTCCCTCACTAAAAATGTCTTACGCACTAACAATTACGTGTTTGATGTTGCGTTAAAGAAAATTAAATTTTCAATTAATTGATTCGATTAATTGTATTCTTGTTAAAACTAAACTAAAAACAAATTGATTTCTATTTAGATATATTTATAGAAAAATGAACTAAACAGTAAATTTTAATATAAAAATTAATTTAAAATTAAAAACTATAAATTTTATCTTCAAATAAAATCAATTATAAAATCATAATCAATTAAAAATAATTCTTACTCTAACAAAAATACAAAAATGAAACGAAATACAGCTACAATACCTTATTTGTAGCCGGAGATGATAGTAAATGATCATAGAAGAGTAGATACTATTAGTATTAATTAAACATAAAGAAATCCATGGGGTGGTTGTTGGGTTGACATTCATTCACTAACAAAAGTAAAAGGCAACTAGAAGCAAACAACCACCAGTTACAGTGGTCTCTTGCACATGATTTGCCCATTGAAAGACAAAAAAAAAGTAAACAAACATTGCTTCAATCTTATAGGCAACACTGCACATCATAAATAACATAGAAAGTAGTACACCTAAACAAAGGATGTCTCATAAATAAATAATGAAAGATAATTATAGTTAACAGTCACGGAAAAAGAAACATCTACTCACACTCACATACACTAAAAAGCTTTGCACCCAACCCAACAAAACAAAAATCCAGAATCAGACAAAGATTTTCTTCCCTTCATCACACTCCACAACCACCACCACCACCACCATCACATCTCATCTAACTTCAAACCTGTTTGAAAAGAGAGAAAATGTTAGAGGAAACAAACAAAACTTAACATTTCACTCTCTCTATTCTTTGCATTGTATTGTGCTTTTTTGTACGGTTTTTTCAGAAGTGGAACTATGAGGAAGCATGGATGGCAGCTACCTTACCATCCTCTTCAGGTTGTGGCTGTTGCTGTGTTTTTAGCTCTGGGCTTCGCTTTCTACGTTTTCTTTGCTCCTTTTGTTGGAAACAAGATGTATCAGTATATTGCCGTTGCTCTCTACACACCTCTGGTAGTTTTTTATTATTCCTTTTTTTTGTTTTGTTTAGTTTTTGTGATGCTTTCCATTCTAAGTTGGTTGGTGTATGACATGAGATCTGTGATGCTTTTTGTTTGCTTTCTGCTTCATGTGTTTGATTTCTTAATTCTGCCTCTTTTTTCTTGTTCCTTTTCATTGTGCTACAACAATGTTCTAGGTGTAATAGTTAATACCTACATTGCTGCTTCATTTTGTTAACACATTTGTTAGAACTAAGTCATCCTTATCTTGATTTATTTATAGAGTAAACTAAACATATTATGTGGAACGAGTAAAACTCCGTACACTGCTCAATATTTTAGTATGTTTTAATGGAGGTGTTTGGAGAGAAAGGGATAGGAAGGTAACTTTTGTTTCAAATAAATAATTTATAATTAACATGTATTTAGGATGAAAGGACTAAAATTCATAGCTTAATATAAACTTAATGTCTCTTAATCCCTTGTTTTTTTTATAAATATTACATAATCAAATTAAATTTTTTTTACTGTCCATTCAGAGCCGTCTCTAACTTTTAGGAGTCTCTGTAAGAAGTAGAAGTTAGCTTGTCGAGTTGTGAATTTTTTTAAAGGACCCTATTCAACCTTAAATTACTCATGGAATATGTGTATGGAGGTCCTTTTTACTATAGCTTAATCATGAAAAAGTGTGAGGCCCTGTGTTGTAGGTAGTCTTGCACACCCTCAAAGACGGTCTTGTGTTCATCTAAACATAACCTGAATGATGAGCATCATCTTGAATTATTGAATGCCACAGTGTGAATTGGAGTAATGCAAAAACATGTTTTTCTTTGTTGCAGAAATCCACTGCAATTAGAGTTTTTGCCATTATCCCTCTGGCCAGAAGCTTATGATGTTTGTATCCGTTACATTACAAGACTAATCTCTGCTAAAGCGCTTAGGTCACAGTTTAAGACTATCTGTTGTTCCCTAGGTGTGTGCTTTGTGGATATTGAACAGAACTTCTCCTCCACAGCTCAACACTCCTTTTATTAGGAAGACTTGAATCTATAACTTCCTTATCACTTCTTCATGGAACACATTTGAGCTTTATTGTACTGAAATCTAGGAGGATAGAAGTCTCTAATTAGTAGTACATTAATATTATCCAAGCAGAGTGGACGGTGTTAAAACTTTTTGAAAAATTTATTCAACAGCTTATGAAACTTAGCTCTGACAGTTACAGACGATTGCTTGGAAAATTTCTAGAGTCATTCAAATGCTTTAGTGTCCGTTTGAGATTTTCTTCCAATGTAGTTACCCTGTGTATTACATGGGTTGAAGACAGCATAATATATGGTGTTTGACAAGAATTTTATTGGTGAAAAACAGGTTTCAAAGTTGTATTTTTATAGCTTCTTGGTATAATGATTTTAGCCTTTGCAAAAAACCATAAAGTGCAAGAAAATGATTGAGAATTGGATTAAAAACAATATGTATTAGGGCACTGGTAGGAGATAGACTCTTCTTCCCATAATAGGAATGTGTTAGGAAATAACTCATCGTTAAGATCTATTCCAAAAAATAACCCTTACAAATTTGTAAAACATGGAATAAATGTGTGGGTAGCAGTAGTGTTATGAACCCACTATCCTCTGGAGCACAATAATCTTGAATAACTAAGTATGAAACATATTAGTCTATGCTGATATGCAATTTCTATCCTCTGATGTTTCTTCCTTGTTATGGTTTTTTTGTTGGTTTCTCTTGCTAAATATGAACGCCCTTGGGCTGTTATTGCCCGACATTATTTAATGTGTTTGCGACAGAATGATTGGATAAAGACAGTTTCGTTTTAATAATTGCACTTTTTATAGAAGAAAAAAAATCCCAAGAAGGGCATTGTGATCTTTTAGTGATATCTCACTTCTTGCCAGATTACTCTTGTTTTTGGACTCTACATTTGGTGTGCTGCAGCAGATCCAGCAGATCCTGGGGTTTTCAAGTCCAAAAAGTATCTTAAAATTCCAAACATTAAAAAAGTTGTTGGGCTAAAGAGTTCTAAATTAGGTGAAGAGTCAACTCCATCAATGCATGATGCAACTGCTTCAACAGTTGGAGGGAATTCCATTGACAGTGAAGCATTTGGAACTGAAGGAAATATGAAAGATGCTTATAATTCAGTAGAGAAGGAAAATTCATCTTCTTGTTTGTCATGTTTCCTTGTGGTTTGCTCTCCTTGTGCTTATATACGCCGCTGCTCTGGTTCAAGTGAGGAATTTTCTGATAAGCAAACCAGTGAAGATGGCATGTTCTATTGCAGTTTGTGTGAAGTTGAGGTGCGTCGAAGCTTTTTAACTAGAAACCTATTTTTCCTCTATTAGCTGTAAAAACTGAAATGATTTTACCTCAAACTTAGTGCACGCTGAATTTTACAATCACTTTCAGTGTCATGTTCATACTTGCTCTGAAAGACTAGACGATAAAAGTTTATATCGTTGAAGAATAACATTGTTTCAGGTCTTCAAATACAGCAAACACTGCAGAGTTTGCGACAAGTGTGTTAATCACTTTGATCATCATTGCCGGGTATGATTTTCTGATTTACCATTTCTATACTCATTGTTTAGCATATGTTCTGAATGATTGGTGTATTTTGAGTTTTGCAGTGGCTCAACAACTGTATTGGGAAAAAGAACTATAGCCAATTTTTCAGCTTGATGGTTGCTGCTATGCTCTTGGTAAGCACTTATATCTTGCTTATCATTCACATGGCTAAACCTACTCCAAGTTATTATAATTTTGATTTACTTTTGTGAACCTTGGGCTTTGAGGATTGCAGTTTATTCTTCAATGGTGCACCGGGCTCCTTGTGCTGGTTTGCTGTTTTGTTGAGAGGAAGCAATTTTCTAAAGAAATATCCTCTAAGTTGGGAAGCAGTTTCTCTATGGCTCCCTTTGTTATTGTTGTGGTGAGCATTCCTCTCTCCCCCGTGGTTGTGTATAATGACATTACTATACTGCTTTAGTTGTTACTGTATTTATTATGAATTTAACTTTTACTCTTTCTGTTCCTCTAAACTTTTCAGTCTGCATGTACAATTCTGGCTATGATTGCTACTTTACCTGTTGTTCAGCTTTTCTTCTTTCATATCCTCCTCATTAAAAAGGTGAGATAGTGTGCTTTCCTGTTGAAAAATATAAGTTTAAATCATAATTCCCATTTAACAATACTAACATTATTAGTGCTCAATGTTATGGTTTTTGCGATTGACTCAGGGACTCAGCACATATGATTACATTGTAGCTATGAGGGAGCTGGAGCAAGAGCAGGAACAGTTAGGAGTTGGAGGCCAGCAAAGTCCCCAAATGTCAACTGTTAGCTCATTTACTGGGTTGAGCAGTGTAAGCTCCTTCAATGCTTTACATCGTGGCGCATGGTGCACACCTCCACGCATGTTCCTTGAGGATCAGGTGACATTTTCAATCCAGACATGCTTTTTTCTTCCTAAAATCCCTTTCTTTAGATGAATATCCGACAATCACACTGCTGCATTTGGATTGTCGTCATGCAAACTTCTTGAGCATTTGAGTGCTCATAGAATTGTTTGTTATTAAGATTTGCATAGAGGAATTCAATTCTTACTGTAGTTGGTTACGTTATCATTTTCTGTTTTCACCTTAGAGGTTGGGCAATGAGAGAATTGTTTTAGTAATAGCTCTGGAATTACTTTTTGTTTTCATATCCATTAATACAATAATTTTCTTCATCTTATTTTGTATTACATCTGTTCTATCAAAGTATGTCAAATGAAAAGGCTTGGTAGAGAATAATTTTAGTTTTCCCTCTTCAGCGACAATTCCTTCTTCCCATGTAGCATCTCCAACATCCATCCCTTCCCAGTGAATCAATTATTCTCTCTTATGCTGTCCACCATCAAACTTGTCACTCCATGACAAAACCTTAGCTAGAGTAATGTCCCCCTTTCCTAACTCGAAACAGATGGGTATCTAAGGTGTAGTAGTATAAGTTACCCACAACCTTCTTCAATTGCGACACATAAAAGGTAGGATGTATTTTAGATGTTGCTGGTAACTTTAACTTGTAAGCAACCTGCCCTATCTTCTTCATGATTTGATACGGCCCAAAAAATTTGGGGGTCAGTTTTGATGGATCCTTTGTACAACTGATTGCTGCCGATGAGGACGTAGTTTGTGGAAAACCAAATCACCAACCTCAAACTGCACTGCCTTGCATTTCTTGTCAGCTTGGTGTTTCGTGTAATCTTGGGCTTTGAGTAAATTAGTTTTCAATTGTCGCAATGCCTCATCTCTATCCCTTAACACCTGCACTACATCTTCTACTGTGGTTTCTCCCTCCAAAAAATGCATCAACACTGGAGACACTAGAGAGGCTTTCTGCCATACACCACCTCAAAAAGGGTGAACCATGTAGGCACATGGAATGTGTATTGTATGATAAGAATGGACCGGGTTCCACAAGTGATGAAGGGATGTGTTAAGTTAACAAAGATGAGGTTAGGCCTAGTTTAGTGGAGAATATATGGGACAAAAAAAAAAGAAAGGGAGTGCAGGAAATGAAGGTGGGGTAGTTCTGAATTACTTTCTGTTTTCATATCCATTAATACAATAATTTTCTTCATCTTATTCTACCTTACCTTTGTAAGGTCAAATGATCCGACCTACCTTTGTTGATACCTAGAGCTCCTAAGATGGCTGATCGTGTTTCTGCAGTGGAAAAACGTTTAGAAGGTGGTGAGGCTAGCATTGTTGCTTTATGAGAGTTCATTGGTGCTGAGATTCAAAGTGCACTGGCTAATCGTGAATCGCCTCATCCAAGCGATGCTATAATTACATCATCGTTGGATGAGTTTCGTTTATTTGCAAAGAAGGTGGAGTTGTCGGCGTTTACCCGTGATGATCCGGTCGCGTGAATCACTCGTACAGAGATGTACCATTGGTGTGTGACCTATAGATATTCTCATTTACATGGTGCTGGTCCCTTAAGTGTGCGGCCTATAGATATCCTCACCACGGATGAAATTGAAAAATAAATTCAGAGTCTTTTGCAACAAGGAGTGGCTAGAAACAGACAATGCATTCTCTAGTACAGGTATTTTGATCAAGAAGAAGGATCAATTTTAGTTCATGAGTGTAAATTATCATGCACTTAACATGTAACACTTTGTCCTGTTATAAATGAATTGTTAGATGAGTTACATGACTCTGGTTATTTTTATTTTTCTATGCTCCGTAGATGAATTGTTAGATGAGTTACATGACTCTAGTTATTTTTTTAAGCTTGATTCTAAATATCATTAAGTTCGTACGAAGAAAGAAGATATTCATAAAATTGCATTTCGAGCGAAATGCAGAGTTTTAGAACGAAATGCTATATCTTCTTTCTTCATACGAATTTGATGATAATCATATTGAAGATCAAGCTTAGAGAAATAATCAAGTCATGTATCTTATCTAACAATTCATCTACAAATTTAGAGAAATAGAAATAACCAGATGTAACTCATCTAACCATTCATCTAGGACAAATTGTTACTTGTGGAGTGCACGGCAATCTACAATCACGGCGCCAAGGTTAATCTTTCTTCTTGACCAAAATAACTGTACTAGATAATACAGTGTTGTTTTTAAGCACTCTTTGATGAAAAAGACTCTGAATGTGTTTTTCAATTTCATGTTTGTGTAAATGAGGATATGTTGCACACTTACATGACCCGTAAACATCCCTTCAATTTAATTACTCGTGCCCTTGGACTAGTGGATACACCAAACAATCTCATAGTTTTAAAGACTAAGAGGAACATAGTTGATGGACTCACACTTGAGAAAGAGATTGTTGAGAAACAAGTGTAAGTTTTAAATCTCACATGGTTAAGTAGAGGTTGAACACTTTATATGTGAGAGGACCCATACACATACCATCTTAAAGTTTTAGGTGAATATGTGATGTCTCTCATTTGTTTGGGTAACTGTTTTATCCAATATGAATGCTTCTCTATCATAATGACCCAACATGTAGGGCCTTCTATTCTCAATTTTGTCAATTGAATTCATACTCTAATTCAAAGTAGGAATAGCCTCTGCACGCTGAATCTCAACACCAATGAACTCGTATAACGCGCACTCTAATTAAAAGTAGGTATAGCCATCGCGCATTGAATCTCAGCGCCAATGAACTCCTATAACACAACAATGTTAGGTCGGACAATAAGATAGAATAAGATGAAGAAAATTATTATATAAGTAATTCCAGAGCTATTGATCCTTAGTGAGAAAAAACAATTCTTTCTCTCAGTGCCCAACCTCAGGTGAAAACAAAAATGATAACCTAACCAACTACTTTCCCAAACATTCCATTTATTAGGGGAATATTAACCAACGGTTAGCTAGACAATCACTCTTTTCTTGTGTTCCCTTATTCTTTATCGCATATACTCTCCTCCATGGTTTATCCCATGTCTTAATTTAGTTGTTTTTGGACTATTTTAGTACTATCATGTATTCAAGGGATAAGGTTCTAAGCTACAAAGCGAATTTTGTCATTGCATAGCATATTATTTATTTTCCCCTTACTTCCTATTTTTTTTCTTGAACTTACTTACTGATCACCACCTGTTGTTTTTTTCTGTTCTTTTTTTGGGGGTGGGACATTGCTCTAGTTTGATGTAGTGCCCCTGGAAACAGGTTCTGTCAGTTCACTTGGAAAGAAGTCAATGAGAGAAGAGCCATTGAAGAAAAAGAATCCTGGAGCAATCAAAATTAGTCCATGGACATTGGCACGATTAAATGCGGAAGAGGTTGCTAAGGCTGCTGCTGAAACACGGAAAAAGTCCAAAATTCTGCAGCCTGTGATAAGACAGGATCATGCTTCCGGGCTAGAACCAGACACCAGTTTCGATAGCACTAGTGGCCGAAGAATGGTTTCCACGATCGAGAACAATAGAAAGTGTGATAATAAGCGCATTTACCTTCCTCCCGACATATCTATGGAATCCATGACAAAAGTTTCTTCCAATAATACCGATATGGGATTCAACGGAAGGTCTGGCTTTGCCCCTCCTCATTTACGTAGGGCATCATCGCCTGAAAGTAGTTTCACTTCTCCTGATATTCACCCTGTTGACGCTTTGGGAGCTGACGAAATAAGAAATAATGCAAGAATTTCATCTCCTGGTGCTGCAACTCTGAACGAAAATCCACTGTCAAGGTCAACAAGCGACGGGTATGAGGCCTCCGGCGGAGAAGACAGCGACCAGATTCCTAGTAGGGTTGTTCAGAGAATTGCAGATTGGAGTAATGTTCTTTTCAGAGGTGATCAAGATGAAAGGCGTTTTAGGCCTCCATTATCATCCAACATAAGTCACAGTAGAAACTAGTAACTTTTAACTAACATAGGTGTGAATTAGACAACTATCATTCTGACTATTTAGTTGTAATTGTTCATTAATTTTTGAGCTTGAGGTACTTCAGCATCATGTGACCATCATCTTCTTTTACTAGTTAGTGTTATTGAATTCACTTCTTTAATAACTTGTGTTCGTATTCTACTATAGTTGAGATGAGTTATAATCAATAACCAATACTATCAACATATTACACATTTGATATGTCACAAATATTTGCACAATATTAACCATAACATGTGTTTTTTTTCCCATCAAAACATGATTTTATACGATGATCAAAACGACCAAACATTAACATTTTACACACTTACGACAGACACAACATAAGGGACTTTGTCTTCATCAAAAGGCAAACTAACATACTGCCACGCAAAGTCTTCCGCAATCTCCGCCGCGAGTTCGCCATGAACCGCCTTACAATACATGTACAAGACGGTGTTTGCAGCGGCGTTGTAAAGCATAAGTATAGTCAAGACTGCGGAAGTCAGCACAATCTGAAGCACAAAAGCCCAATCCTTCCAGGAACCGCTATCAGAAGCCACTGCAGCGAGAAGTGAACCGCTCCATAGCATGATTCCTTCTAAAGAAGCGAAGAACAGAAAGCAGGAAGCTCCGGTGGATCTCATTCCGCTCATGAGGGATGCGCTGCGGCGGAGAGGTTGGATTCCGTAGGTGTTTTCGATGATTGTGATGACTGAGGCGAGAGTCCATGAGATGCGGAGGTAGAAGAGGAGGAAGATGAGTGCGAGGAGGAGGATAGCGGAAGCGGTGAGGGTGATTGGGGAGAAGGAGAGGTTGGGGTCGAGGAGGAGGGGGATAGGGAGGGAGAGTGAGAGGAGGATGAGGTGGGAGAGGATGGAGGTGAGGAGGAGAGGGAGGAAGGAGGATGAGAGAGAGGTGACGGTGGAGAGGAGTTTGACGGGACGGCCGAAGAAGCCGTGGAAGACGCTGTGGGTGATGGTGGCGAGGGCGGAGAGAGAGAATACCAAGAGGAGGAAGAGAGAGAGTAAGAGAAGTGGGAAGGGGGAGGGTAAATTGAAAGTGGTTTGAGTTTGAGTTTGGGTTTGGGGTTGGTTGTGGGCTAGGCGGAGGAGGATGTGGATGGTTGGGGAGTTGGAAGAGGTGGTGATGAGGTGGAAGATGGTGGGAGAGACGATGAGGGAGAAGGAGAGAGGGAGGAGGAAGATGACGGAGAGAGCGAGGAAGTGACGGGAGTGGGCGTTGATGATTCGTTTGGATTCGGAGAGGATGGACCATAGGTTGAGGCTTGACATGGTGTCTGCTGCTGTGTATGAAGTCAAGTGAAGGAATCAGAAGGTGATAATGGCGTGTGGATTACCAAAAAAACTTGATAGTTATCTATGGTTGAATTATATACTACTCCTACATTTCCAATTCCCACACTTCTTCTCCCTAATTATAACACTGACACGTCTAACAATATTTTTTTTTGGGATTGTAGACGTCCCCATCTTAAAGAAAAGAAGAGTGAAATTGTTGAATTCAATACAAATAATACAAGTATATAGTTTTAATACTTTACTTTTTATTATTGCCACAGTCCTTTAAAGATTTTTATTTTATTCCTTTATATTATAGTCCCTTAAAAATAAAGGTTAATATACTTTTTAACTCCGGTTATTCGATGGGACTTTGAAAGAGATTAATTAATATACACGGTTATTGTAAACAGTTTTATATAGTCAATAAATTACAACTATTCACGAGTAGTATTTTATATATAGTTAAAGTAAAAGTTAAACACTAATAAAAATCAAACGGTTATAAATAATTGACAGTGTATAATTTCTTTACACTGTCGGTGTATTTTAATTAAATTCTTTGAAAAATGACTCTGTAAAAAAGAAACTCTGATTTCATCTTTACATTTTGAAGATTCTTCTTTTTTAGGCCTTAAATAGATTTGATCAAATAAGAGGTTAATGTGACATTGAGAGCGTGATTTTGATTTTTTTAACTATTAATTTAAGTAACAGTGCATGTGTCACTTAATTATTTATTAATATCAAATTTAAATTATTAATTCCTTTTTTAATTAATAAAACAAAATAAAATATTTAGTATTTGAAATTAAGTAATTAGATGGCATCGTAACATTTTGTTTACCTCTCAAAACATAGAATAGAATACGACATATCTTCATCGTCTTCTCCAGCTTTTTTCCGCCTCTATTGCTAAGTTGTGAAAGTAAGAGGTACGTTTCAAATTTGTAGTCAGTTAATCGTATATTTTTGTCACATATGGTTGATTGTTGCATGCCCATTTTACTATATTAGGCATGTTACTATTCAACTTTATCTTTCACCACGATGGAGAGTTTGTTCGTGAAAGCTTCGTTTTCTATGGAGGTGGAGTTGAAACTATCGTTAGTGGCCAGGTTTCAGACACATAGTCGTACTTAGAAGCTCTGAGCTTAGTAAAAGAGTGTGGTTTTGACAGTAATGGTGTCCAAATGTGGAGGAAGATTGAAGGGATTGATGAAGGTTTCTTCCATCTGACTGATGATACCACATTACAGAAATTGCAAAGTATTCTATTTCTCACAATGTTGATGGACATATACGGATGGAGCACAATGTTGCAGACAATTCAAAGAGGGTGCTCATTCCAAATTATGTAGATGTTGGTGAAGATAATGAGGATAACAATGATGAGGATTCTTTAGGGCCCAGGTAGACCTAGAAAACTTAGGTTTAGGGAACATGATGAAAATGGTTCCACAATGAGAAGGCATGGTGTTAGTTAAAGGTGCATTAAGTGTGACAAGATTGTTCATAACTCAAAAAAATGTCACAGTAAAGAACAAAGTTAGTGTATTATTTCTTTCTGGGTTTTGTTGAATGTTTTTTTAGTACCGAATGATGTTTATGTTTTGGTGTCTTAGAGAAAAACACCTAAGACCAAACCTGCTAATGCAAATGAAGAAGTGACTAAGCCTGCATAAAGACACATGTCTGGACCTGAAAATGAAGAAGTGTCATGACTTGCAAATGAAGAAGTGCATATTATAGTGCAATTTTGGCACTAAGGTACATTTTGGTTACATTTACGGCATATTATAGTACAATTTTGGCACTGATATTATAGTATCTTATAGCATATTGATACTGGTACTGATACATTAGTGAATTATAGTACATTAGTGATAACATTAGCATTATAGTGCATTCAAAAATTGCTTATAATGCAGACAAATTATATTGTATTTCCAGTTAACCAAACATGTATATCAAATAACTGCTCATTTCATTCATATCAGACATTACAAAGCATATTCCTTTGATCTCATTTCATACATAACATTATAGCAAAAAAAAATCCACAATGCAACTAGAATGTAAGTAAGTGCATTAATGGTCTTCTGATCATTTGCAGCCTTCACCTTTAGTTTCTCAATATTTTTATTGTCAATTTCCTTCCCAAACTCATGACATAACTCTTTCCCAAATTCAACTCCATACTTCCTCATATCAACTTTCATGTTTTCACATTCGTAGCAACCACCATCGAACCTAGATTCAACTTGTTTTCCATTAAACAGTTCATCATCCTAGTGAAATAGATGACAATCATCGTTGTTCTAGAAATATAATGAAGGAGATTGTTAATTCTCTATTTTTATGATTGGCATTAATTTTGGTAAAACTAACTTGGCAACAATATGTTTAACAAGATGTCTTATCATGAAGTCTCGGTATCTTGTCTGTTACAGTTTTGCGGATTGGATTTATTTGGTCTAATTAATGATTATAAAATATTCTGAGAATATTAAGTAATCATATGTGTGGTATCCAAGATTGAGGAATCGGATATTATGTTTAAGTTTAATATTATTTTGTTTCTCTAAATGTTGAGACATTTTAGGAAACACTTTATTGAAGACCTATTATTATGTAGAAGATTCTGCAGAATTTTAGCAGCCGTCCTGCTGCGTTTTTGAAGCTCAAATCCAGCCAGGCCAGGCAATGTTTATAAAAAGAAGACCACAAACCTAATTCCAGTGTGGAACGTATTGTGTTGTGAAGTGATCTTTTAGAGTTTGTGTGTTCATGTTATTTTTTGAGCCTCTCTAATATCATCTTGGTATAAGAGAAGGACTGTCTCTATTGAGTTGTAAGTTCTGTTAATCATTCTTAAGCTTTTAAGCATTGAATGATTGTGTGTCTTTGAAGTGTGACTTCTGATAAGTCTTAAAGTATTATTTTTTCATCACTGTTGTGATTGAAAGGGAAGTGAGAAGGGTCTCATTCCTAGGTGAGTCTTAGGTAAAAGTTAAGCACGAGTAGTGATTAAGTGCATAGATTTTAAACTGGAGATAACTTGCTGAAGGTCTACAAACTGATATTATTTAGTGGATTTCCTCCCTGGATTAGTAGCCCCAGACGTAGATGTTGTTGTACACCAAATTGGGTAAACAACTTTGTGTGTTTGTTTACTTTTAGTACTTTTAACTGTGTTTATATTGTCATTATGTTTTAATCATATATTAGTGTTTCAACATATTTCAGGACATCTGATATCTGCATACCAAAATGTCAATTGGTATCAGAGCAGGCATCATACTTTGTATTTGGGTGAGATTCAAGAAAGATACTTTCTGGTACAATGGACAAGGAAGGGGGATTTGTGATTAGACCACCCATTCTTGATGGAACCAACTATGATTATTGGAAAGCTCGAATGGTGGTTTTATTAAATCCATGGATAGCAAGGCTTGGAAATCTATGGTCAAGGGATGAGATCCACCAATGGCTAGAGATAAGGATGGAAAGATTACACATGTACTGAAGGCTAAGGAAGACTGGGATGATGAAGATGATAAATTAGCTCAGGGAAACTCCAAATCATTGAATGCCATGTTCAATAAGTGAACAAGAATATAGTCATACTAAAAAGTAGTTGCATTATTGCTAAAGAAGCTTGGGAGATCTTGGAAACTTCTCATGAAGGAACCTCTAAGGTGAAGATGTCAAGACTTCAACTTCTCACCACCAAGTTTGAGAACCTAAGAATGAAGGAGGATGAAAGCATTCATGACTTTCACATGAATATTATTGAGATATTCAATGCCTCAAGTGCTCTAGGGGAGAAAATGTCAGAAGTTATGTTGGTCAGAAAAATTCTCAGATCTCTTCCAAAGAGATTTGACATGAAGGTGACTGACATTGAAGAAGCCCAAGATATAAACAACATAAAGGTTGATGAACTTATGGGATCTCTACAGACCTTTGAATTAAGGATCAGTGGGAAGTCAGAAAAGAAGAAAAGCATTGCCTTTGTCTCTAATGTTAAAGACTTAGAAGATGAATGTGATATGGATACAGATGAAGGGATATATAATTACATTGTGTTACTTGGAAGACAACTTTAAAAAGTGATGAAGAAGATGGCATGGAAGTCAAGATCAAATGTCAAGAACAAGTCACTCGATATCAACAAAAATTAGGATTTTGGGAGAAGGCCCAGATCTAAAGAAAATACTAACCAAGGAAAAGGAATCTAATGTCATGGATGTGAAGGGATTGGACATATAAGAGCTGATTGTCTCACTTATCTAAAGAAATAGAAGAAGGCTTTATATGCATCATGGTCTGAGGATGATTATGAAATTGATCCTGAAGAGGTATCTGCCAAACAGGTTACTTCCTTGACTGGAATTTGTGATTCTGATGAAGAATCAGATTATAAAGAACTCACCTTTGAGGAACTTGTTGCTTCATACAAGGAGTTGTGCCTCAGAAGTGAAGAATTTTGTCAATTGGGAGAATATCAAAAGAAAGCCATTGCTCAATTACAGACTGAAAAGGTGGAGCATTTGTCTAGCATCTCTAATATGAAGGATGAAGTTTTATTGCTCAACTTTAAACTTGACAATATGACTAACTCTCTTAAAATGCTTAACATCAGGTCTGATGTGCTGGATGAGATTCTTCAAACTAGAAAGAATGATGAAAATGTAAAAGGTCTTGGTTATGATAATCAAGTTGTAAGGAATAAAGGAAAAGGACCTGAAGTGAAGTTTGTTTACCCAAAACAAAGACAGGAACAAAAAATTTCAAATCAAATATCCCAACATCATCAAGGACATTATAGTTACTTAGGAATTAAACCTCAACGATGGAGATGTCATTATTATGGAAGGTTTGGTCACATAAAACCCTATTGTTACAAATTATATGGCTATCCCAAACCTTTTACTCAATCCAGAAGAGAACAGACTTCTGTTAAAACAAAAACAAAAGTGGATTCCTAG